CAATTTAACAAAACTTCAATCTAACTTCACTCGAATTACCTGAAAAATAAGAAAAATAACAACTAAGGAAGGAAGACACAGAAAGGAAAAAAAAATTATATGAAAAAAAGACTTAAGGAAGCTTAAATCGCAGAAGAGCTTTTTCATTAAAAACATATACACAAGTATAAGATGAGATGAGCGCGAAAAAATAGAGAAAAGACATATTTCGCTTTAGTTCGAAGATGATAAATTTGCCTTCTTATCGATATATCTCGCTACATATATCGCATATTATTCTTTCATTCTATCCAATATTACTGACGGTTATTTTTTATGCATTGACGGAGAGATTTTGTGTAAACATACAGAGGTTTTTGAACATTAGACAAACACAACACCCAAAAAGGAACGCCATCGAATGAAAGTCTCACAAATGAGAAAGAAAAAATTCCTTTTTTTTCTCTCATTTTTTTCTGTATTTATCGTACGCCTTAGCAAGTAAGATTTGTGTGGAATGTTGACTTTAAGGATTTACTTTTGCACAATAAATGAGATTCTAATATTGATGTTAATGGAATTTACTTTATTTTAGTTCGATGGAATGAGGAATAAAAAATTTATTTTTACTTCCTTTTTTTCGTTTTTCTTTGTTGAGGATAAAAATCTTTTTCTGTTTTTGCTTTTGTGTTTTGTTTTCTTAGAAACAATGGGATACAAGAAAATTGGTATTTATTCAACCTTTTTTTTCGGAGAAGATTTTGTTTAGAATTAAATAAGAAGATGGAAAGTTTTAAAGATTTTTTATTATTTTTGGTTTGTTTTTTAAACTTTGTTTAATTTTTTAATGTTGAAGATTTGGATTTTTATTTCAAATTATGACAAAATAAACTGGATTTAACTTTAAATAGGTTTTAATTCTATTGAGGAGCATTTTTATGTTTTTATTTTTTCTACCAAGATTACCCAAGTGCTTATACCCTTGTCCTTAATTTCATATAAAAATAATTATTTTAAGAATTATTGAACATTTAAAAATTCAAATTTAAAAAGCTCAATTTTTTAAAACAAATTTAATTTAAAAGCAAAGCAAAATAACAATTTAAAAGCTTTATGCCCTTTAATATTCCATATTTCTTCATCATATGACTTTCAACTTCGTACAAGCTAACCAAAATAACCACAACATTTTCACAAATAACCCAATTATGCCTAAAAATAACTTCTAATTATTTACTTTTCAACTTAAAACCCCACAGAAAATCTTAATTAGGTAAATTTTTCAAACGAGAAAAGTTTCTACAGATGCTAAAGTACTTCAAGAGCACAAGAACATCCTGATTAAATATTTGTTAATTATGGCAAAGTGGTTAGCGAGTTATTAGTCATAATATTTATTATTTCATTTGTCTTTTTGACTTTTATTTGACATTAAGTAACCAAAATAGAACTAGATTTTGATTTAATTAATATGTTTGAGTTTGAAAAATGACTATTGACAGAAGGAGCGTTGATTTAAGGTAAAATTTAAATTATTTTAATTAAAGCTTTCTCAAATGCTGAAATGAGGGCCCTTAGATATATTTTTATCTACTATTATCTCCTAAATATCAAAATATAAGCTTCAATTGACTCAATTGCATGTTAAATCTGAAATTTTCATTCAATCTACTTTAAATCCAACTCAACGAGCAATAAAAGCAAATTACATGAAAATTACCTTCCTTAATATCATTTACCTCAACCAATAATCCCCACCATACCGCCTTAATATCAAAATATTCATCATTATCCAGTCTATTAAAGACATCATCTAACCATCCTCATTATTATGTAATTCACAACATTCATTAAATGTATAACAAAGTTATTTTCCTTTCTTTAATCCGCCAAAATAATCAATAAGTCTCTCATTCTACGAAACTTTTGAACAACAGAGATGAGGCAGAAAAAAAGAAATTTCCATTTTGTATCAGTCTAATGCTTATGCTTCATCTTTTTCCATAAATATTAATAAATCTTTAATCTCATCAATAATTCCGTATTATAATCTTCTCCATTATCTCCTCCTACCTTCTTATTTTGTGAGATTCAGGACTGCAATAACCTCATTTTGAGATACACAACCCACACCTCCCTCAACTCATAACCCCAATGAGATTCTACCTTTGTGATAGATAATTAATTAAATCTAATCACAGACGTATTTTCTATTCATCAAATATTGATGGAAATTTTCTGATACAAAAGTTTCTGATTTTTCTTTTAGGAAAGTTCTGTTGAAATATTTATCTCGATTAGGGGAGAATCAAGAGAAGTTTTTGAGCTTGGAAAGTTTTTTTTTTTTGTTTAAACTTTTTTTCTGTTGAAGGAAAATTGAAGACATTTTTGAAGATGCTCGAATTTTTGAGAAGCTGAGGATTCTATGTAATTTCAACTAATCACATCAACTATTTTCTGGAATTTTTTAGCTTGCAGATTAAATATCAGTCAATTTTTTACTTAATCCTCAATTTTTCGATAAAAAATTTCCATCCATTTTCACTTAAAAGCTTGTAAAAGCTCTCATTTATACGCACAAAAGCACAAATCCATTTTATTATTAATCTATCAAATTCCATCAAATATTTTATCTTACTCGACATAACAATAGTTTCAGATTTATTTTTTTTGAGACTTTCGATAGACGCATTTTTGGGGGGACATTTAAACAAAAAAAGAAAAAAAAATCAATAAAATAAAAATTGAAATGAAAAATTTTCAACAAAGAACGGAGGAAATAATAGAAATGATGAAAGTTCTTGTGGGGATTTTTGTCAGAATTTATAATGGAGATGACTTAGTTCATGAAAAATCTATTTTGAACAAATAATATTTTGATTTTTTCTAAAATAAAATTTTAATTTTAAATTTATAAACTTTGTTTTTTTTTTCAAAGAAATAAATATTTTATATTTAAATAATTATAAAAAAATTTCAAAGAAGTATAAACAATTTGTTTTTGAGTTTTAAATTAAAAGGTCTTTTTCATGAACTTTATAATTTAAATAAATCTAGAATTTTCCAATTGGAATTTTCATGATCAATTTTATTTAAAAATTTACATTCACCTCAAAATAAGTCAAACAAAACCATCACAAGAACATCATAAGTCAAACTAAATCTAAATCATCAAAAGTTGAAATGAAAATTTTTTTGATTCTTTTATTTTTTATTTATCGCATAAAAGAAAAATTTGACCTTTTTTCGTCATTTGAAAAAATAGAACTTTTGATTGAACGAAAAAAAGGAGAAATATATAAAAATGAATTTATATTTTTTTAATAAAAACCCATTTGAACATAAAGCAGAATGAAATAGAGGGGCTAAACTTAAAAAAAAATATAAAAAAAATATTTTTTTGTTCTGCCTTTTATTCGATTTTAAAATTATTATCCTCTCAGGAGTCGTATATTAGCAAATATGTCTATATATAGGTTTTTATTCAGCAGCTGATTCATAGGTGGTATCAAAATGAATAATAATAAAATAAAAAAAGTGAATAAAATTTCTCTTTTAGTTATAAATTATAAAATTGAAAAAAAAACTTTTTCTCTCACATGAATTGTGTTTAAGTTGTGGACATGGGGATGCTGATAAAAAACAAATTTTTGATGGCGATTTATTGAAAGTTTTGTGGGTTTTTAAATGTAAAAATTTTAGTTGATGTTGGAAGGGGTTTTCACTTTTGTTTTTAAGTTTTAAAATAGTTTATAATATTTTAACAATTTTTTAAGAAATAAAACTTTTATTGTAGAATTAATTTTAATTATTTTTGAAGTTTTTAAAATTTTAATTTTACAATTTTCATTAAATGAAAAATTACAATATTTTGAAAAAAAATTTAATTTTCACAATCCATTACTTATCCACATTACACTTCCAACAAGGAGCATTAAATAATATTTAAAAAAATTGAAATTTTGTTGTAGAGTAAAAGGTTGAAAGTTCAATTTGAGATAGACAATTCAATGTGAGAGAATAAAATAAAATTTACAGCATGAAAAAAGCTGTGACAAAGCTGCAGAAAAAAATATTAATTTAATTTTAAATGAAACTATAAAATTCTCTTTTCTCCTCCCACGTAGTTTTTGAGATGAAAATCATATGGAATAAGAGAAAAATAGCAATAATAATAATAATAATACTGTATACTGTAGCTGTACACGAAGGCTTGAAGAAGAGTTGTTGGGGAGGAGAAAAAGACTTGCAAAATAAAGACGAGATACTAAATCCAATTAGATACTAGTCGGTATCATATGACTCATATCACATGATGAGAAATGAAATAAGTGCAGCTGCGTCCATGCAAACATACATATCGACTTTATCATCTTCATTAGATGTCGTCTAAATCCTCATTTCATTTCAATATAATCTTCTATTATATATCGACTCTCGACAAAAAAAAAATAAGTTATATTCACAAATTCGCAGCGATATCGTTATTCAATATTATTTTTATTTGTAGCAAAGCATGACGAATTTTTATCTTTAAAGGTTTTTTATTCTCAGCAGCTGGAGAGGATTTTTTTAAAGATTTTTTGAGGTACTGACGACTCAACTGCCAATGGATCTACTACTAAATTTACATAGCTAATGGATTTGAGCAGTTGGGGGGTCAATAGTCTCATATTCCTCTGTGGAATGGGGTGTCTTTGGAGATATTTTAATATATTTTAAGTATCATGTGATTTTTTGATGAATATTATAAAGATTTTGGTGTCATGAGAGAAACTTGGACCAACATATCAAGATACAAACCTAGTCAGCAGATTTCTGACGCAAGACAACATGTTTTTATTTTTTTAATTTTAAGCTTCTTTGCCTTTAAACCACCGTTTATTAAAAAAAACACCAAAAACCAACCCCACCCCATCCACTGCTGAGATTTCAATTCAATAATTTCAAAAAAAAAGTTATTCAAAAATAAACTAATAAAAAAATTTCTCTAGCCATAAAAAGGATCATGATTGACTCACCTTTCACTGTATTCATCTTTATGTGCATACGATTGCACGCTATTTTCTTCAATTAAAAATTTAACTCGCTGAAAGAATGGTGCTGTTACAGATGGCGGTTGTTTTCGCAATAGAACATCGACCGGTTCATTGGATGACAAGCACATGATGTGATCGGCGCATACTGTATGTGAACAGCACTCACTATCAGAACAATCAATCATTCCATCTGGATTGGTTTTGATTATGAAAAGTTTTTATTTTTTGAATATTGTAGAATTTTTTGAGTAAATGTTGAACAGGTTTTGGGAAGCATTGTTGGAAAAATTCAATGACGATTGTTGAAGTTTATGTTGAATTTTAGTTGATGTTTTACAAAAATGGTGAAAAAATAGAAATAAAGGTTTTAGCGGTTTTTAATAAATTTTAAAATGAAATTCAAAGCTTTCAAAAAAAACTTTGATTCCAAATACTAAAATCTAAATTTTATAAGCACTCAACTGAGCATATTTCATCCCAATACAACACAATACATTTGATAAATCAAGATCCTTACATCCAATATAAAGACATCGCAATGACAATCTTACCTTCATCATTATCAACACCATCGTCGCATACCATTTCGAGTGGTATTGAACAATCAGATCCAGCCCAGCCTTCAATACAATTACATCGATATTCACCATCTTCTAATGTACACTGTCCGTGACGTGAGCATCCATTTTCGCATCCAGCTGTAAATTAATAATGACATTTTTATGTTCCTTTTGTGAGTCTTAAAATGAATAAATGAGAGTTGACTGAGGAGAATTTGTTAGAGGGATGGGATAGGAAGGAAAGAGGAACAGAAATGTTAAGATATTGTGAATGAATGTGATATGGATATTGAGTGGTAGAAAGAGAGTAGCTGGGGGTCTAGCAGAGTTGGAGTTCATGGGCAAATTCATGAAATTTTAAGGGCAGAAGGTTCAATTTTTCATTTAAGTAGATGTAGTTGCTTAATGCAAAGAAAAAGACTCCAAAAATTCCCAACTCTGCATCAATAAGCTCACATTAATACCAATTCAATAGGACATAAAAAAATAAGTAGAATGAGAAAAGGTGCAGGCAGCACGAAATCGGCATTTCGACAGACAGTTGAGGAAAATCGCACAGAAAAAAAAATATTTAAAGCTTCCATTGGAATGAGACACACAGTGGAAGAGAGAGAAAGGAATAAAAACGAGAACTGACAATTGAATGATTGACAATGGCAGAGAATGGAAATTTAATTGGATTAAAGTTTTTCCTCGAGACTGAGCACAAATGAAAATGCCAACATCGGGAATAAATTTTTTTTTCTGTATTTTCTTTATAATGATAAGCTGAAAGCGATTATCTGTCTGCCAGCAACTGCTTTCATTGTCCATAAAATGCGATTATTTCATCAGTGAATTATTTTTTTTCAATTATTCGGAAAAGGAACACAAAAAACAAGATTTTTAAGGAATTGTTGCTACTTACGTAATGTACAATATTTTCCATTCCATCCTTGTGAGCATACACAAGTTCCGTTTTTACATTGTCCATGTGCTGTGCATCGTGAGTCGCATGTTAATTGCTCACATAATGCACCCGTCCAGCCAGGATTGCAACGACATCTTGAAGATTCACATATTCCATTTGGTCCACAATCTAAGCTACAAACAGCTTGTGAGCAGTCTAATCCAGTCCAGTGACGATCACATACACATGAAGCTGTTTCGAGATCATAATGTCCATGTTCGGAGCAGCTTGGTAGACATTTGTAAACTTGTTGATCTCTAGCTGCACAATCATCACCTTGCCATCCAGCCTTACAAAAGCATTGACCAGAAACACAACTTCCGTGTCCAGAACAATTTGGATCTTGACAATCAGCTTGATCACAGAATGGTCCTTTCCAGCCACGATCACAATGGCATTCGCCTTCAATACAACGTCCATGACTTGAGCATGTTGGCATCTCACACTCATTTACTGGTATATCACATTCTGATCCTTTCCAGCCATCTTCACAATGACAAACTCCACCACCATAATGTCCATGTGCTGAACATAAAACCGGGCAGACACTTTTCGAGCAATCAACACCTTGATATCCATCAATACAATCACATTTACCCAAATAACATGATCCATGTCCACTACAGTCATTTGGACAACTGTTGCTAACGCCTTCAGCTTCTGAGACAGTTAAATCAATAGTATGTGCTACAAGTTCATCATTATAAATCGCCAAAAACCATCGACCGACATCCAAATATTCTAAAACCGAAACATTCACTTTCAATGCATCAATATCGATTTTTAGTGCTGATCTTTTGGCAATAATATGTTCCTCATCCGGCGACAAATGTAAGAATGCTGACGTATCCATAATATGTGGTTTCGGTATGTCCTCAACAGGCTGCGGATGAGCCAATTCAAACATTTCAATTCTTAACTTACTATCATGATTATTATCGTAATTTAATCGTTTATTGTCATGTCTTCGATGTCCATCAGCCAGTATCTCATGTGTTCTCTCATAATTCCTCGTTATTTCATCGACAACATCGCGCTTACGCCTCAATTTGTTATGATCTAATCGCTCGCGCTTAAAGAATTCCACAAAGTCATGTTGTGTGACACTCGGTAATACATTTCTACGTCCATAAACGGCAAAATTTGCACCCCATGGTAGCGTAAGATTAAATTGAATGTAAGCCGGATGTTTATTACGGAATTCAATGTTCCAAAATTGAAATGGCGGTACGGTTGAGGTGTGCGGTACATTAAAGTCCTTTAACTCTGTTATCGATGGCTGTATGTGAATTTGCAATTGTTGGTCAGATATTTTCGGTTGATAGACATGATGATGCTGCGTTGTTGTACTTGTCGTTGTCATTACTGTATCTTCCGTTGTTGATGCATCCTGACTAAGCATTCCTTTAATACCATACGAGCTACTGCTACTTCCCATGCCTACATTCATCATATCCGATCGAAGATGATTATTTTGTGAATTGGCCAGTGTTTGTGATGATTTAACATCTTGGACGAGGATACAATTTGATGGATCGATATTTGGTTTCATTGAACTGACGGCTGCTTGTGTTTATTGGTATGTATATACACAATTGTAAATAGAAAGTAATATAATATATATTATGAGATAAGTTTCATCTAATGGGAAAATGAATTTGAGGAATGAGATATAAATGGCATGATTGCCATAGATAAAAATAATTGTGAATGAAAGCATATGGATGGATGTACATATGTATATTTTTTTTATTTTTTATTCTACATCAGGGATTTAAGATGATGATTTAATTTCCTTGTCGGTTCTTTTCTTCATATTTGTGAAGTTTTCTATGATTTTAAATGGATTTTTTTTTATCTCTCTGATTTATTTCTGTTTGTTGTTTTGGAGAGCTTGTGATGGAATTCTTTAGAGGAAATAAGATGAATAAATAAATAGGATGAGGATGTTGAAAGCTTTTTTTAGGTTTTTAATAGAAAATGTGCTATTTAAGGCTTCTGGGAGTGATGCTTATTGATTTTTTTTGTCGACAAACTAGCGTAGGCAGTTCTTCACTCCTAGCTCCATCCATGTCACTAATAAAACTCATAGTCAGTTATGGACCTAATGACCATCTGCTTAGATCCATCAAACCAATAATTTACTTATTTTTTCTCAATCTCGCATCCAACAAAAGAATTCTTTCAATTGTTCAGCTCATTTTACCCTGAATGACCTCAGCATTTTTTCCAAAAATAAATATCTCTGAAAAAATGTGCCTTTCTACTTCTTCTATCATTGCACAGTCATAAAACATAAATGCCCATCGTGACTCGACACTTAACATCCAAGTCCAACCATATATGTTCAAATTGAACATAACAAAATAAAGAAAATTGAGATATGAATTAGGAAATAGATGAGCAAAACGGCCGAAGCAAAAGAAAAAGACGTGAAAGGAATTTTCAACAAGTTACTTCCCGTACTCAATCATTTGAGTCGAAAGAAAAGTCGGTTTTGTGTGTATGAGAAAGACTTTATTTACATGTGGATCAGTAACATAAAACAGAAGCACACAAAATTATCAGAGCAAGAAAATCTGTTCTGATTGTGCAATTTCCCACAAAATAATTTAATGGGTGAAATGAAAATTGTTGTAAATAAAAGTTTTATGTGAAGAAATGTGTTATGTTCTCTGTGATGATGGAGGCTTAGAGGAGATGAATGTAGGGAGGCTTGGAATTAAAGTTTTGAAATTGAATTAAGGTTAAATTGAAGAATTGAGATGGAGTGAAAATTCACTAATGTAATCGTTACAGGATTAGTGAGGTCTGATAAGGGCCGTTCACTTATGACGTCCATCAAAAAACTTAATTTTAAGATATCGATCTGTCACCGATGTCTATACCCCCCTCGACTTGTGACGTCCAATCCAAGACACAAAAAAAAACATAATTTCCTGATTAAAAAATTGGATGTCACAAATTTCCTGGCCCCCCTCCTTTCCCAGTCACAATGTGTCACAAATTTTTGACCCCCCTCTTCCCCTAAATGTTGGATGTCTTAAGTGAACGACCTCTTAGTTATATTCGTACAAAAAATTAAACTAAGTAGAGACGAGGACGTTAAAGAGAATCAAACGAATTAATATAATCTCTGGTGAAAATTTGATACCTTTAACCTATTTGCCCCCAAACAATACCTTTAATGTACTTTAAAAAAATCTGACCTAATTTCTCAATAAAACTTTGAGAAAAAAAAAATATCCCAAAGTACACCCCAAATAATAGCATCGACCATATTAATGAACAACAGAACAAAATTCTTCCTTCGTCTAATTAAATTGCTCATCCATCACACGTCCATTTAGTAACTCATCCCCACATATTACATCATCTCATACACAGATTGTGTTTAAGTGAGACTATTACTATGTAAATGGAATGAAACGGTCCTGGAAAAAAGAACTTAATGTACATCCATCCATAAGCATACGGGGGGAATACTATTTTATGCATTCAATGTATCAAGATAAATTTATTTATTAAGAATGAGAATCACTTACCGGCAAAATAAGCCAACAATGCTGAAAGAATTACACTTAAGAATATTAAGGCAATACTAAACGATTTCCATGAGCACTTGTACTGGAATCTTTTATCTAAATTGAATCTGTATGAGGGAGATATAAGAATACAATATATTGGTTAGTAAAAATCATTTTAATGAATGTTTTGAGATCTTAAACTCGTTGAAAATAGCAGCAGCACCAATGGAAGTGGCAATAAAAAGGCATCATGTACATACATGTATATATTTAATAGAATACAAGTAAGGGATAATCAAAAGGACATGAATGGATAAAATATTGCAGTATGGCATGGAGCAACAGTAAGAGAAATGAGAATACTGCAGCGAAACTAATACCCTAAAAATTGGATTGAAGATGGAAATTTATGTTGCTTGAATATTCCTTTTTTTTCCAACTTTCTATCTTTTGCATATAGAGTATGTACAAATTGCAATTTGCATCTCGTCGATAACAAGTTTCCTTCTTCACTTTATAGATACAATGTGCAGTATGTACATACAGATGTATATGCATGTCTATGCTCCTTCAGTTTCAGTGCAGTTCAGTTAGCTGGAGATTTTTGAGAGGGTTTGTTTTGTAAATTGTCTGATTGTCTGGTTGTATGTTTGTATGGTTGTCAGAAGCTTTACAGTCTTAAAAAATGTAAAAGACTTTGAGGGTTTTGTGACTTTTTGAGGTCTAGCATGAGCGTGAACCCTACTAAGGGCTATATAGTTCTAATCAAGACCTAGTTTAAGTCCAACCCCAAAATTTGTCCACAAAATGCGCTTCATCCTTCACCAATCCCTTAAAACTCCTGAACAAAATTCCATTTTCTTATATAATATTCCAATAGTGCACTAAAATGTGATAATACATGGATGAAGAAACAATTCTCTAAGTTGAATGTTGCCTGATTGTCTCTCATCCTCCAACGTATCCTTCAAATGTCATTTATGCTTTAAAACTAAGTTTTCTCTATTTCTTCTCGGTAAAATTTAATTCACTTTATGTGCTATTCTTTAAGCTTCGATTATTTATTTTAACAGCATCATAAAAATTCCTTTTAAGTATCAATCGAATTATTTAAGGAGACGACTAGAGCTTTTTTTGTAGTCGTTTAGTATTGTTATTGAAGCTATTAGATATTGGAACTAGTTCATGCAGTGATTTATTGAATTGAATAAGTGTTGAGTAGTTTTTTTTTAATGTGACTAGTTTTTGAGAATTCGAAGGAATTTTGAAGAATGGTTGACTAGATTTTTATGATTTTGATTTCTGCGTTGCTTGTTCGTTGACTATAGTTTTAAAATTTCGGACATATCAACAAATCTTCAGTTATTGAAAGTGCCATCAAAAAAGCTCATACACTAGACTGCCGCCTTAACTTAGGTTGTGCACCCCCTAAACTTCTATATAATATGAATATTTATCCGCTTTAATAAACATTTCCCACACCATATCCCATAACATGCACTATCAAATGCAATGTGATTAAAAATTTCCGACTGAACTCTCAACCTGTCGTAAACTAGAAGTACAGCAGAAATAAAATAATTTCACTATTAAATTCCCATCTTGAGTGAGAATTCCCATCATCGAGTCAAGAGGGAATAAGCAAAGAATTTCTCGTCTGTAAGCAATGTGAATAATCTGAGTGATTTCAACATTCCTTTTTCCACACTATTTCCTTTTATACGTTTACGACATTACAATAGCACATAATATTCATAAAATTTAACATGCATCGAATATGTGTGGATATATATTATTTCATATTACACCGTCGTTCATCGCTACAGCAACAATTGAGACAGACGAGATTTCTTCCTTTTTTTGCTTACTTGCTTGTTCAATGCAATAACGTGTAGAGAGGAATTGCTTATTCCACAAGTTCTTTCACAGCCACCCCACAATTTTATGGCTTCAACCAATGCAGATAATGTTTTCTTCCTTAGTTTTTTTTTTTGTCGACAATCACCCGAAAAATAATAGTTATTTGGGGTAGGATGTCATGTTGGTGGGGACTAGTGATGTTTTATTGCGCATTTTGGGATTTTGAGGTTATGAATTCACGAACTAGGTTAAATTATGAGTTTTGGGACAAGATTTCGTGACTTAATTCTCAAATCTTCAAGAGTTATACATTCTAATAGGGATGTGTCCCCTTGGTTATCAGCACATACCTCTTAAGTATAAATTTAACCATTTCACTGTCATTTATCTGCAATCCAACAGACAAGCTACCGATAAAAATCACAATATCATCCCATATCATGCTATTTCATAAACTAGCAAACTATTTCCACAATACAGTCAATGAGGTGTGAGATGAGAGGGCGTTTTGAAAACAAAAAGACAAAAGGAGTTGAGTCAAAAGCATTTTGGTAAGAACATAAATCGCACAATAAATGCACCACACAATGAAAATTAAATAAATATCTTTCTTTAGTCTCGGTATGATAGTCAATGTCTCTTAACTGCTACCATTCCATTGCCATTGCTGCTGCTGACTCTGCTATGAGCAAAAATTTTATTTTTTATTTCCCTTTTGTTGTTCGCAAATTTGTTTTTGGCTTTGATTTCGATATTTTCAGGTACAATATTTTGAGTTTATATGGGATTATTTATGTTGTGAGTATTTTGTCAGATTTCCTGAGAGGGTAGGCTTGATTGTTTTGGATATAAGCTTTAATTTATCCAGACTTTCTATCCCACTCATGAAGAAAATCTGACAAAACCACACCTAAGGATTTTAGCAATAAACTTACCTTGAAGGTGAATAAGGTTGGGAGCTTTTAAGTGGAAATCCATGCATTAATTGGGATGTGCCGCTCATATGATTGCTATTTATTGTGCCCTGCATACCCGGAAGCGTTTGTCCACCTTGCAATGTTACATTCATTCTACCATTCGTATGTGTCGATGTCGTATCCAAGCATAAAATATTTTTTATGATGAGGATGAGAATTTTTTTTTTCAGGGTACGTTGTTGTATATTTTTTGTGCGTATGCCAATGGCATGAAATATTGTTTGTTATTTATCCATTTTTTTTTGTTGTTGTATGTGTTAAGCATCCATTGAAGCCCAAGCCAAAAAAAATTACAATGTGTGTGATGAGAGAGAGAAGAAAAATGGAGAAAATTTTTCATTAAAATGATAATAATTCTTGTTACTTTCTTGTATACACAAGTGTTTATATATTCACACCAAAAAATATAATGTTACGACAATATTCGCCTTTTCGTTGTTCGAGCACGAGCCTTGAGTACATATTTATTTTTATTTAATTCCGAAATAATTGCTTTCCTTCCCTATTAACACTTCCCATCTTAAGTAGATCTTACAATAGAGAAGATACAAATTTGTGCAGCTTCTTTTTGGGGAGGAAAATATTTTGGAGATGTCAGTTTGTCGGGAATCTTGAATTATTAGGAATTTTAAGTCGATGCTTTGAAAGTTTACATTTTCAAATCGACGCTTTGAAGCTTGGCTTTTCCAGTCGGCACTTTGTATCCTGAATTACTAAAAGCTACGCTATAAAGCTTGGCTAATTCAAGTCCACGCTTTAAAGCTTGACTTTCTCAGGTCGACTCTTTGAAGTTTGACTTTCTTAAGTCGAAGCTTTGAAGCTTGACTTTCTTAAATCGACGCTTTGAAGATTGATTTTCTTAAGTCGAAGCTTTGAAGCTTGACTTTCTTAAATCAACGCTTTGAAGATTGATTTTTATAAATTAACGCTTTGAAGATAGACTTCTTAAATCGACGCTTTGAAGATTGACTTCTTAAATCGACGCTTTGAAGATTGACTTTCTTAAGTCGACGATTTGAAGCTTGACTTTCTTAAGTCGACGATTTGAAGCTTACTTTCTAAAGTCGACGCTTTAAGGCTAGGTAGACAATTGAAACAGCTGACTGCGCCACATTCTTTATCAATCAATAAATTCAACAAAACAAAACTTTTTTTCATTCCCATAATACCAAAAAACATCCTATGATAACGATGAAGACGACGGCAATAAATTGATATTGAGACACTCAACAATGAATTTTTAATTGGATTTTGTGAGTTAATTGAAAAGAAGTTGAGTGCAAAAGCTTTTAGCAGACTTTTTTTTTTATTTATTCTGTGTTATTTTTTTCTCTCGCTTTTTTATAAATTAAGAGAAGGTAGGGATTTTTTTTTGTGCTCAGTAGAGGCAGAAAAAAATTTTTAATTGAACTTTGAACTTTTAAGCTGCTGTATTAAATTGGAAAAATGTTAATTTTTGTTTTATTTTGAGGACGCGTATTAATGGCTTTTGATGTTTCAGTGATAATTATCACTTTTTAATTAAAAATGAAATCTTCATCAAGAAAGATTTATCTATGATAATTAAGTTATCAGAAATTGATGGAATGAGGGGGGTTGGTAGGGGATTCTTTTTATTTTGAATTGATTTGTTGGAAGTCCAGAGAGCATCCATAATTATTTTAATAGTCAAAACTGAATTTAAGGTTGAAGTTGTCACAAAATTATTATTATTATTATTATTATTTATTAAAATTAAGTGATAGAACCTATCATAACCTAAAAAATGGTGATATAACCTCAAATATCGAAGTTATTTCTAAAATAAGATCCAATATTGATAACATTATGTCCACAAATCCTATTGTACATTCTCAAAAAAGTCTTAAAGTCGTTTATCCCAACAACAACAATCCCTGACTCAAAACCAGCTCAAAAACGACACAACACAAAAGAAGAAGATTGATAAAATAAAATTTCATTGCCTTCCAAAAAAAAGGAGAAAAAAAAGTTTCGACATGAGAGGAAATTTAAATCCATTGAAGCGGACGATGATCTATGAGGCGGGAGGGTCTACAAAGAATCCAAAAGTGGGCAGATCCATCAAATTCAAAGAGAATGAGACTTCGGACTAAATAAAAGAAAAATCCCATTGTTGAGTCAAAAAGTCATCATAAGACAATAAAACTTTGAAATCCACAAAATATCCACTTTTGCTTTCCGCAGTAGCTACAAAAAAAAATCAGTTTTTGTTCCTTTTTCTGTAATTTTTATTAATCGTGGGATAAAAATGAAAAAAAATTTCATCTCCTTTTTTTTTACATGACTAAACTTTTTTTTTCTCGTAGCGATTTATGCCAATAAAATAAGACCTCAAAGAGAAGATAAATTCCATTTTTATTATCCACGAGTACCCACAAATGAAAAAAAGGGTTGCTCTCTAGTGTCTATGAAGAGTAAGAGAGATGGAAAGCTAAAAAAAGGCATTGTAAAACCCCTCCGAACAAGTCGTAAACATAATTCACGGTTAGAAAGAAAGGAAAAAAGCCTCGGTAAGGGCAAAAGTTTTGTGTCTTCTTGTTACTGCTATCTTTACACGTTTTTCACTAGGCAGAGATTTTTTTTTATGTGCTGCAGAAAAAATCTAGTTATATAATTTTCATAATTTATCATGTGAAATTTGCCTTCTTTTTTGGTGTCTTCTGGAAAGTTATTGAAGCTTAAAATAACTGTAAGGAGGAGAAGATGTTGAGAATCGGTTTTAAATTGAACAAAACAAGGGGTTGTATTTACGTGTATGAAGAGCATATGAGATAAAGCTTAAATGCCGCGAAGAGTCAAAATACTTCGAAGTAACAATGAGAATAAAGGAAAAGTCATAATAAGCGAACATTCCTAAACTTAACCCAGCTATCCTCCGGGATCTTAACCTAGCTAGAACACCAGGATCAACTGTAAACCTTCAAACTTAATTAAAGCCTCAACATGCCTGATTTCAGCTTTAAAATCCCTCAAATACAGCTTAATTTTCCCAGAACTCTCCATTAAATTATTCAAAAAATACCTAATACATTCCATAGAAATTCCACGTGCAGACATAATCCCTAGTTGAACTTTCACTACATATTCATTTCAACAACATCTTTTTATGACATAATCTCTGTGAAAAAAGGAAATCTTGTGAATACAACCAAAATAAGACAAGACACCCACAACAGCACAGCACATAACATCAAAATAAATGATGAATGATCTTCTAGGAAAAATTCCAAAAGGAGCTTTCACTAATGCACAAAACTTAATAGTTTTCTTATCAATTAATTTCACATAAGAGAGTGTATATATGTTGAAAATGAGGAGATTACCTAGAGACACTCGTCTCCAAAGGGACATCATAAATGTTGCTGACATTTGGAAGACGACGAGATATTGTCGCTGGAACTGAATAACGTGAATCTTCTCTATAATCTCCACGGTAATCCATGATTTAGTTTTTCTTTATACTTAGCTACTATTTTTTACTATCTGACGTTTAAAGCCTTCCGGTTATCGATCGATAAATTTTTTTTTCTTATTCGTTTCGTAGCCGACGATTTAAACTTTCATTCTTGCCGTACTTTCTACTCTTCTATGACTTTTCTTATTCTTTTTATTGCTGTTCTAGAACAAATTATTGGTCCTTTGAGTCAAAATGACAATTATTGGTCCTTTGTGTAGTGTTTGTTGGTATAGGAAGGAAGAGGAAAGACGGAATGAATGGGAAAATGTTAAGTCTTATTTGAGCAGCAACAAGATAAATTTTAACACCATTACACACATTTTATCTTATCTTTAAGCAATTTGCACAAATATTTTAGATTTTTTTATGTTTTATTTTTTTTTTGCACATAAATTTTTAAGTTGGTTTATTCCTGTTTACTTTACTTCTTTTATCACACTGAAATAAGGAAAGATTTTATTTTGTGTAATTTTTCACTTTTATTTTATTTTGTATTTTTGTGAGAAAATTGATGTTAAAAGGGGTGATTTTGAGATTTTTAAGGGGGGATTTTGGGTCGTAAAAACTGACAAGATTTTATTTTATTGGCTTTACTACATACTGATCAAATTGAAGTTAAGATAGTCGTTTACTAACAGTCCATCTATAAATGACGTTGAACAAAAAAAACGTAACCCATTCACAGAACCTAAGCTTCCAATTCCTTTAATAAATCTGACATAAATCAACTTAAAGTTATTAAATTTGAATCTCAAAACTATCACATGACTTTAATTCTCGAATCATTGTAAAATATTATTTTCACTTTACAGTCAGTAGCACAATTTATTTTGTGCTTTCTATTCGAGCGTACTTTTGCCATCATGGAAATATTTATTTTATTTTGATGTCGAAAAGCTTCTCAGCTCTGTGAAATTTGAGATTCATTTCATCTATCAATGCTTTCATCACTTTTAATTGGCGTAATTTGAGATTATACTTCATTATTTATGGAAGGAATTTTTGAGGATCTGATGATTTTTTTTTGTTTATTGGAAATTTGAGAAGGTATCTTATGGATGTGCTTCGTTAGATAAGGATATGGATGTTTTTGATAAATTATTGAAATTAATCTTATTGAATTGGGATTTTTTTGTTGAGTTTTGAATTTTTAAAAAGTATAGAGCAGTGCTTGCAGAAACTATGGACTACGACATATTTGAAGAGTCAAACAGGTGGCATGTCTAGGTATGGTTGTGGTGAAGGGGTCCAAAATTTGATTTTTTTTCATAGAAATCATTTGTCTTTAAAATTGAAATTTTTGGTTCTTCAATTTCAATTTTTTTAAAACAAAAATAAACTTAATTTTTAAGAAAGTTGATATTTTAATTTCAATTTTTTTTAAAATAATGAATTTAATATTTGAAAAATGTTACAACTTTTAATTTCAAAATTCAGATTATTTTTGTTTAAAAATTAAACATTCAAAAACAAATTTTTTTAAAATATAAATATTTGATTTTAAAAAGTTTATTGCATTTTCCGGCAATAACATTGGCACTTAGCCAAAGAATTTTTCTTCCACTTGTTTAACAAAAATGCAGTTTCAATTTAAACGAAATTTCACAAATTTCTCAACGAAAAATTTCAATTCATTGACAAAATTCTCACAAAGTTGTTAATTAAACCCCTCCTTTGCAATATTTCATAAACCTCCCACCTTGCCTTACATTTTCTCACAAAAATTCAAGAAATTTTTTCTAAAATATTTCCTCATTTACCCAATAAAATTATTCACATTTTCCTATGAAATATTTTTCACATTTTCAAAAAAATTTCTTTTCCTTAAAATTTCTCACATTTTACTCTTTTTAAATTCAAAACACAAAACAAATTTCCAACACTTTCTAAATCCTGCTTTCGAGACAACAACATAAATAAAATTTAATTAAAATCCATTTTTTCTCTTCATTTTTCCATTAAGCACGTCTGCACACATTACGGTAACAAATTCAACTTCAATTTCATCCGACACATCTCATCCGTCTGTTCACAACGAGTTGAGAATAAAAATAAAACATTATTTGTATCATTTTTTGTGTGCTCCTCTCAACATGTTTCATATTCAATTTAATTTCATTTTTCTTCTTTTATTTTGCGAATGCACAAAAGTTGATGAAAAGGCGCAGATTCAAAACTTTTCACACATTTTTCAGAATTTTTTTGCAGAGTATGAAGAGATAGGATAGACACCCGACAGCAAACGACGCAATAAATATCAAAAGTTTTAACTTTTTTTTAATATCCTTAAAGATGTGCCAACAGTCCAAATTGGAACTTTTATTTAAATTTCATTGACTTAATTTATTTCATAGAATTAATTTAATTAATAAATTTTATTCCTATTCAGAAAATTCGTTAATTTCACTCGAATGCAATGCGAACTGTTCAAGATTCCACGAAACACTGACAGTATTGATAAAAATTTTCCTCCTTAACTGTTTCAAATTCGCATACGATTCACACGTACGAGCAAAAAAAACGCCGGCGCAATGCGAAATGTTTGCAAAACATTGTCAAATAAAACATTGAGCATTCAACATTTTTATTTGTGCCATTTGGAAACAATAAGAACATAAATTTGGATGAGCTTTATGTATTTTTACGATGTGCCCATTGCTCATTACTCGAAATTTTTTGAGATCATACAAAAAAACAGAATCTCATTTTAAGGCAAAAATTAATTTAATTTAGCATACAAAAAATATATAAAATAAAAATAAAAACGTTAACTCACCTCGCACTTGGCATTCCATTGGCTATCGTTGGTCGGTTAGATATTGTTGAGTAGCCTGCATTTCCAACAGTCATATATTCTACATTATTATTATTTTCATTGTTGTTATCATTACGATGATGCACATACATAAGGGTAGCAGCAACCCGGTAACAAAAATGAAAGGCATGTGGAAATAAAATAGAAATGAGAGAGAAAAAAGAGACATTAAGAGTCAGTTTATGCCGTAAAAATTTTTTTTATTCCGACAGAGAAAAAAAGGACAACAACGAGGAGTAATTTTAATGAAAATCATAATGTACCATAAATTTATGTAGGGTTTTTAAGGCGTACGCACTGAGTTTAAGTATGCTTTCCCGATGACGAAATCGAGACCGAGACTTCCCGGGAAGTCTCGGTCTCGATCTCGTCTCGGTCTCGAGAATTTTCCGAGACCGAGACCCGAGACTAGAGAAGAAAAAAATTTAAGTAAAAATGATAATTTTAGAATTTTTCCCATCACAGTTTGTAGTTAATCTTACAGTTAGGGTAAATGACCTTGAAATTTGCGCATTTTCACACATGAAATTTTCATTTGCTTCAATCTCTTCGGAGGTATGGGATTTTTTCTCTTTTTGTATGGGATTTTTCGGGTGCAAATTATTGAGCTTCCTAATGATTTAATATCACTAAAAATGATGCAAAAACATCTGCGCTGGTGTTCTACAAACATTTCCCATTGATCGTCTGAACAGAAGTGACATTTTTACATATAATTTTAAAATTTTCGTTTTCATACGAGTGCGCAAATTTCAAGGTTGCGCAAATTTCAAAGTCATTTACCCTATCCAATTTTTGTGAATAAATATCAATAATAAATTAATTATTAGTAAAAGTTTTAAGCAGTTTTTAAAATGTATTAATATTTCAACGTAAAACCTGAATTTAAAATAAAAAGTCCTATAATTTTTCATAGTTTGAAACTAAATTTACCGTTATCGAACTTATTGAAATTTTCACAAAAAAAAACCTAATTTTTTTTGAGGATTTAAATGTGTATTTATAAGTTTTATGAAGTTTAATAGGGACACACTTTCTTATCATTATGCTTTTCTTTTATCATTACGTATTTCGTATTTCTTTTATATTTTATAATAGTATTAAGACAATAAAATTAGTTTGACTGATCGCATAACAAGGAATATATCCAGAAGTTCAATAACAAAAAGACGTAATCTACATGTTCTAAGTCTTTTTTAATTACTTTCAGCGAAATTTTAAGTAGTTTTTAAAGTCGAGACTTCCCGGGAAGTCTCGGTCTCGGTCTCGGTCTCGAGAATTTGTCGAGACCGAGAAATCGAGAAAGCTTAAGTTTAAGAGGGTTTTGGAATTTTTTTTGGAAAGCTTCTTGGCAATTTTGAAGCTTTTTAACTTATTTATAATTTTTTAAAATATTCTAAGGATTTTACGGGGTCCGTATATTTATTAAAAATCAGTCAGCCTTTACACTAGCTGTGCTTTGGCATGATTATAGTAAAGAGTGTCCAAAAACTCTAGAAAAGCTCTAGAAACCAGCTCCTGTCTACACAACAGAATCTTTATCTACATTTTTGACATTTCGAAGCAAACGCCTCAGCTATGGAGCCGTTTACTTATTACGTAACGCGAAAAACGACTTTATTCAAATATTTTGACAAAATCTTAGACCCCCTGCCCCTTAAAAGCGTTACGTAATAAGATGATTTTTTAAAAATCATGAAAAATTATTATGTTTAATTTTTGTGCAATGCTTTTTAACTTAATCCATAATTTTCACTAGCTAACCTTATGTTTTTCAAAAAAACAAATTCTTTTTGAACATTAATGTAGCCATCGTAACCTCGACCTTACCTTGATTGTTTGTAGATTTCCAAAAATAAATCAAATATAATTAAATATTCCAATCAACCCCCAAGAGTGCATACGCCTTATCCAGCTTTAGTGTCTCATCATCAACAAATTTTCATCCGATGTAAAAAAAATAGTTTTATCACCATTTATTCTCCTCTTTAAACCCCGCATCTACATACAATTTTTTTTTAGGTTACAACCACATGAATGAAAATGGATAAGAGATGAAAAAAAAATCTTTCATGTGGTGAACTTTCATTCCATTTTCTGCTAAATCACCAAGAAACTTTAATTCATTATCATCATGAACAATTTTTTTTTTCGCTTGAAAATTGAATGAAAGGAAGTTTTTTTTCTTGTTTTATTAGTTCTGTGTTATTATTTAGGGCAATCATTTGATGACATTGCCAAAACAGTCAAGCTGCAAAGCTTTCAACACTATAATCATCATCATCATTTAATGACATTGCTAAATGACTGTAAATACATCTAAATTTCACTTGTAGGTCATAAAAGACTCTCGTGGTGTGGACAATAGAATTCTCTAATGAGCTTGTAAGCTTTAACAAATCATTGCGATTGAGATGTTCAATTTTGGAAATCGTAATGAGGAGCAATGGGTCGAATTTCTTTTAAGTCATTGCTTAAAAGTCGCAGCACAAATTGCTCTTATTAGATTTGCTCCTTTTTGAACCAATTTTTCCTCTTGAGAAAGCAAAAATCAAATCGATTTTGTTCTTCGAAGAGAAACCTTCAATTTTCTTTTTAGCAGGAAATTTTGAGGGAGTTGTAAATGCGGAAATGTGAGGTTTGATCATTTTGAATGGGTATAGGATGGATTTTGTGGCTAAAATATTTCAGGTGTGGCATGATAAATTGTTAAACTAATTAAGCTATAGATTCAGAACTTAACATTTTTCAGTCTTTAGTGTGAAAGTAGAGGAACCTCGTTGGAGATTTAAGGGGTTCAAAATTGGTTTAATGGAATTTAATTCTATGAACTTTGCTACTAGGAAGCCTCCTGATTCTTTCCGAATGAAATTTTTTTGTTGCTACATGCCTAAATCTTTAGTAATTTTAACCTCACATTATATCCACTCTAATGATTGCGCCTCAATTTCTCATTTACTTGAGCTTTCTTCTTCCAATTCTCAGTTTTTTTTTTCCTTTCATTCACAACACAAATAACATTTTCAGTTATCAAATTAAAGGAGGGAGGTTCACAAACGTACATAAGGGGGGGTTTAGTGAATGGAACATACACAACAACAAGAGCAAGTGAAAGGGCTCTAAATCAAAACGAAAAGCTTCCTAAAAGCTCATTATCGAATTTTCATCGTGTATGTTTTTTTTTCTTGTAGAAATAAAGGAAGAGATATAAAAGAGAAAATAAAAGTAGGGTGAAGAATTCTTTTTTGCTGTATTTCGTATTGGAAAATATTTTGCATGGGGGATTCTATGAGAAATTTATGAGATGAATTAGTAAATATTTACAGAAATCGAGAGTTTTATGGAGAAAAAGGGTAGAGTTTTTTTGATGATACGGAATGAAAATTTGTTCATATTTGTTCTTCGAATATATTTAAATTTTAGAAAAATGTGAGGCTTAAAGGTGAACTGCACCCCTTAAAAAATTCTTATAATTCCTCACCCATAAAAATAAACAAAAATTTCCATTAAAACTCCAATCAATCAAAATTAACTCTAAGAATTCCCCATGAAATTGCAAAGGCATATCGTATACGGATAGCAATCAAGCGAGTAGTTGAATGTATCGCGCGCACAATGATAGGAAAAAAAACGTGTAATGTAATATAAAAGAAGACATTTAAAGGACAATCAGGACATTTACAATATAATGGGAAGACACCACAAACACACACGCACACACAAAATACGAGGATGTAAACGCACACAAAGATAACACGAATGATATAAGAATAGAAAAAAGAACTGAGAATGGGGTCGATTACATGAAAAGAAGAAGAAGAGTTTCCCATTCAGATTGGGAATGAGTTTGGTTGGATGGAATATGTAAGGATAATAGACAAGAGACACACAGCATGGCAGTGATAGAAGCATCATAATATTTTCTTTTATTGTATTCTAGTGGAAATTTTTGACGGCATTTTGATTTAATTTTTTTTTGAAGCTTAATTTGCGAATGCTTTGATGTAGGAAGGGGTGTCCTAGGCTTGTCGTAGACAATTCTTTAGTCAACAGCACAGAAAAACTTGATGTGTTCCCAAAAGAATCCCCACCAGGACAAACTACAACAAAAAAAAATATCAGAAGCATCCACAAAATTGTCTCATCTTCCTCACATGGAGCAATGAAAAAAAAAAGCAAGCAGAGAAGGACGAAAAAAAAATTAGAAAGATAAAAATGTTTTGGTGCCAGATGCCGTAGCAGTAGCACAACGACATTCCATTACAGCTTTTTTTTGCTATCCTCTGCGACTGCTGCATCATCACATTTTCACACACTCATTTATATTATGTTATTACTATTATTCTTATTACACATTTTGTATATGTGAGTCTATTGCTCTTTCTCTCTCAGTCAGATTTTTTTTTTATCTCATCATCATTTGCACTTACCGTGCTGACTCTGTGGAATGAATTCCTCGTGAATTTGATCACCATTTTTGTCAATTTTCAGTACATAATTGGAAGGTTGTTTCATTGCAATGGCATTCATGCTAGCCATCGAAATGTCACGATGTGTGGGTGGTAGATATTCAGGCGGTGCTGGCTCAGGTGGCGGCTCCGATTCAATATCTGAGATTATAAATTATGTATACACATTGCACTCTCGTAATGCATAATAAAAAATGTGAAAAAAATTAAAAAGGAAATTGGAAATTCGAGAAATGCAAAATAACCAACAAAAAAAAAATGAATTTTGTGAATGAAAAATGAGTGAATTTTTATTTTCCATGTCGTGTCACATCACCGACACTCGTCGGCCTTTAATTGCTTCATTTTGAGTACATACATAAGAAATGAGGCAATTGGAATCAATTTTCCATCGGATGAATATTTAAACTAGCTTGGTACGAATATTAATGATTAATAAATGATGTGAAGAGGAGGTTAAAGTGCTGTCAGTGAATTGCGATGGAGGAAATAAAAAACTTTTATTTTTAATGAAGGCATTAATTTTTTTGAGTGGATACTTGATTTATGGAAATACACTGAGTGATTTGACTGTTGAGGATGGTTGACGTGAGGTAATCTAGATGAAAAAGTTTGAGATGAGGTTAAGAATTGATTGATTAAAAGTGGAAATGAACTTTTTTTTCGGGATATCGTCAGCAGTTTTTTTTTAACAGGACAAACTTAACAGGTAGGCTGCTAAGGATTAATTGCTAACGGAACTCACCATAGCACCTCAAACCTTGAAAAATACTAGCCAAAACTTTAAATTCAAACTAGTTGCCACCCAATAAATCCCTTAAAAAAATCCTTTCAATCCAATCTAAAATTCAAATTGATATCAATTTATATCAAGCACCCTCAATTTAATCTTATCACATAAATCTCAAATATCTTGGTAGTCAAATCACGGCAGTAAATCAGAGAAAAATTCTACAATATTATGATCATCTGTAGACATCAAAACTATAACTTTGAATAGAGTTATCACATGAAAGTATCCGCCTTTAAACATGTGTATGTACTCAAAATATACATTTTAATGTGACAATTAACGTATTGTTTGCCTGACATGATGAATGAGATTAGATTTCATGATTTTATGATTGATGAGAAGCGACAACATGTGTTGTTGTTCATTTTTTATATGGATATGAATGTGTATGTCTGTGTTGCTTGTTGAGCATGCAATCATGCCTAGATACATGAAAATTTAAAGTAGAAAATAATTTCTCTGTTTTTGTGACTGTGCTTTTCTGTTTGAAATAAACGCAAATGATTTTTTTTTTGATTCAATGTTGAAAGGAATTTGTTATGAGGTTGGTTGGCATTTAGGGGCAGATTCGGACCGTTTAAATTAATTAATGACAGTATTGAGTTAAATTTACTCAGTTTTAAGTCGATGCTTCACAGCTGGTTTATTTTTGAGGCATCGCTTCAATATTTAGTCAATTTTTAAGTCATTACTTCAATTTCTAGTCAATTTTTAAGTCGTAGCTTCAATCTTAAGTCGTCGCTTTATATTTTTCAACAATTAAAGTTAACACCTCGCTATAAATCCTCTACCATACTATACGGTATGAATCTATAAAATCCAACCCAGCATATTACTTTGTCTATGATAAATCTCATTGCCATCCAAACAAACAGCTATCTGGATAAATAGATGGATGAGAAATTCCATCATAGCTCTGAAAAAATCATAAACTGGATTTAATTTTCCTCATCTCTCCACGATGTTCATAAAAATTGAATTTGACAACAAGATGTATCATGATTCATGATTTAATAACATGACATTATTAATCTGATGTGTGTCTCTCAACACGATGCGTGAATGAAATAACGAAGAATGTAGTAAAAAAATTTTTAAGAAGCTTTTGATGTTTTTTTTCATGCCTTTTGTTTGATAAATTGTGTTAGACTCTGTCAGCGTTGATACACAAAATAAAGAATAATAATGTCAAGTTGAGTTTATCAAAATAAACAGATTTATTGTATGTACTTGAATTATTTTTTAAGAAAACTTTTAAACAAAATGTTGTTTACTTTTTTTTTTTGATTATTTTGTTTTTTGGTGGAAATTTACGCTTATCTAGTTGATGGATTTTGTGGGACTTAAGATATCTTATTTTCAATTATTATGATAAGAATAAATTCGATCGTTTTAAATTGATTTTGATTGGGAATTTAAGGGTTAGGGTTGATGAAATTGAGTGCATACCCAATTGGCACGAGTCAGGTAATCGAATGTAAATCTTGCACCAAGTCGGCATGACTCTGACATTCGATTTAAATCCAGCACCTCGTCAAAATCTCACCGGCTTGGTGCTGGATTACTGATCAATTAACCTACTTGTGCAATTCGGGATATGGTAAGGGGTTTTCAGAAGAATTTCAAAAATTTACAACCCCCCCCCCCCTCCCCCATTTAATCTGTATTATTTGGTAAGAATAACTAGTTTTGAGAATCTTTTAATCTCATTTCTGGTAAAGAAATTCGTAAACAGCTTCCAATTAATCTAAAAACAGACAAACAACTCCAATCAATTTAATCAAGACTTAAATCACTGTCTTATCCCTAGTTTAAACCCCCAAAAGTATCTCGATCCCTATCCTCATAAATATTAACAATAAAACTCCATTAAAACTTCAAATCTAAATAGATCCCTCATATCCCCGCCTTTTTACCACATCCACATATTTTTTGAATTATTCACAGCCAAATCGATTTCAAATTCGTTCCTGTGAGAGATGGAGAGACGAGAAAAAAGTTTTTTTTTTTCTTTTGTGTGCGCTTCCTCAAAAATCCGCAACTTCACCGTTCGCCTTCATATTATTATACTCAGTTATTGTAAAACTTCTCACATTATTTCTCTCAAATGAGCTCATAGGAACATTTAATTTTTCAGAACGAAGATAAATGTCGGATAATGAACGATAGTAGTGCCACATTACTTTATTATCATTAGACTTTACGAGATAAATGTGTGGCTCAGGTGTTGTTATTGGCTCAGGTGGAATCTCTAGAGCTTGTGGTATCCAATTTGATTGTAAAACATTTGAGTCAGCAGATTTGCTGTCGTCTGTCGAAAGTCCAATAAGATTCATAAAATAATTGTATATTCTCGTTAAACCCGATTGACCTTTACTTTGTACTATTGCTGCCTTTGTTGTTGGTATAAATGACGCCAAATCGCTTGCCAATTGACCGAAGTTGCACTCAAGGACGTCATTTTTGGATGTGTTACAAAAAATTTCAACATTTGTATATAAAGTTCCATTTATGCAGAAAATTTTATTATTAAAATTACAATCGACATCGCATTCAATGCTCGAGTCCGCACAGTCAATTGAAATTTTCTCATTCGCACATGAATAAATTGTGCCGTTCAATTTTATTCGATTTTGTCGTAATTCATGTGAATTTGTGCAATACATTAGTGGACTTTTTGGTGGAATATTTAATGGGAGTAATGACTCTAATCCGAATGCTGTTGCAGCACCGTCTATTGCTGATGCGGGGAGAATTTTTCGTGTTCCTAGAAAATAAAATTATTGTTTCAAATTGAATATTCATGAGTTGAACTGAAAAACACCTCGGTGGTGCTAAGATTACAGTTTTACGTCGTGATGGAAGTTTTATTTAAAGTTTATGAATGAGTTTTTCGATGAATTTCGGTGTGGTGTGTAATTCTTGTGAACATTTTGCTTTGAGGTTGACGTTCTAGATTAACTTCTTGAAAATTCTGAAGTTTTACATTTTTTCTGGTAATGGTTTCGGGGTTTATCTTTGGCATTGTAAGGTAATCTTTGAAATTAACTATAGCTTTTATGGAACAGTTGCCTTTGTTTTCAAAAAATTTGTTTTATATCCACAAGACAAGGCTGGGGTGGTTTGAGTTCAGCTCTAATACGACCCAATCGTCATTAGTCACTCTATTAGCTAGTCTATGTAAGGACAGCTTTGCTATAATGTTGCCTAATACCTTGTTTGTTCTAAATCTGAACAGAACTTGTGATTCCATGTTAGATTATACAAAACCAGACAAAAGTCCACACAGTGGTTTCTGTTTTGGGCACTATTGAAATATTTGCATCTTTTAGAATAGTTTCGAGTATCTTTTCTCAATCCTTATTGTTTTCTTGACTTTTTAAAGCACTCAGATAATCAAATTCCCCCAAAAAAGCACTCAACAAAACTCAAAAAAGATTTCCAAAGAATTAATCAAGAAACAATATTGTTAGTCCATGTTAAAATACTTTATCCCCACAATAATTCCTTAATTCGCACCAAAATTATTTTCTCATTCCTCTCGACTGCCTTAGCAATCAAATGAACAAGATCAAAAAAACCACTCAAATGAGGCTCACCAGGAATTTTGTTTTCAAAATACGGAGCTTTTGTCGTCATTCTCCACCGCCTATCGTCTTCTTCATTCCATTCATCATACGGATTGTTCATCTCTCGTCCAATTCTCATGCCAGCACGAAAGAATAAAGCATTTGTGAGAAATTGTGCGATTCCTGCTGTCTTGGAATGCGTTCGATAATAATTATTATAGATGTAAGAATTCTTGGATAATCCTTTTGAGAATATCATCCCATAATCTTTTTGTGTGAATGGCACGTCTCGATTAAAATATTTATTTCCATTATTGACATCATTTTCAGGCGCTTTTGCAGGCACTCGAGATATTTGCTTTTGTTTTGTCTTTGCTGATTTTCCTGAGGCTTTTTTGAATGAGAATAATTTAAATCCACCACCGCCACCTCCTCGACCACCTTTAAATTCAGCACTTTCGAGTAACAGGAGAAGCACAAAAACGACTGTGAATCTCATAATATTATTGTATTTCAGTCTATACGGTACAATGGCTTGTAATTGAATGATTCTCGTGCGCAATTTTTATTCTTATTCATTTCCTTCTTTCTCTCTTATTCAACTCAATCGTGACTCTCACTTGATTTAAATTAAAGTCGAAACGGAATTTAGCTCGTGATTTATGAACATTGGGTATGTAAAGTATGAGATTGTCCAGCTTGGGTTGGATTTGATTGATGACTGTCTCAATTATAGTCTCGATTGTGTAAACAAGTAACAATTTCTGCTGTAAAGCCATTATTAATGTTGATTATGCAGGATCGTAGCTATTTTAGCTGAGACTCACTTTTACTTTCAAAATCTCATGATGAAACCTTCCAGGAAGTAAGATTCTTTCCGCTAGCCTAGCTTCTAGATGTCTTCCTAACTTGTCTCTCAATTTTCCATTTCAAGGTTTTACGCAATCCATCTCAAGTGATTTAAGATGAGATTTAAATTTACAAAGTCAAATCTTATTAAGCCTAATGACAATTACGAGCATTTGTGAATATTTTATTGAATTCTTTAGAATTCCTTCTGTTTTGAAGTTTGCTGGAGATTTTATTAAAATGAATCTTCAATATTTTTTTGAATCTTCATGCAGAAAATCTCCAATCACCCATAAATCTATCAAAATTGCACCAATAACTCTTTTCCGTCTCATTTCTCAAGAATCACTTCAAACTTCAAAACAATTTTTTTTATTGAATTTCTCTCCAAACTTTTCATCTCGTCAAAAACTTTTCTACTTAAAGCTTGTTTTTTCTATATCTGAAAGCTAATCTCAAAGCTCCATTTGCTGATCGAAGATTTATTAGACTTATTTTACATATGAGTAATGGGATTTTTTTTTCAAAACCATCAATCATATGTGGAGGAATTTTTGAGATTGGATGTTTAAAAAAAAATAAATTAAAAATGAAGAAAAATTTTCAAGGACGTTAGATGTTAAATGTGTGGTGGTTGTTGATTAAACTGAATATTTGCTAAAGGTTTGGTAGATCTTGAAGTATTGTATGCCTTTAAAATAGTCATTAAACCTCTTTAAAACAGCCAAAACCTTATAAAAATACAAAAAAATTCCCTAAAATCTGCTCAAAATTTTCCATTAAAATTCCTCATCCAGCCTCTCCACCTTCGAATCCTAAAATCTATTTATATTTCGTCGCACCACACAACTTAAATCCTACCCACATGATAAAATTCCCTGACATTTAGTAAAAATATATGCGAAATTATTCACAAAATTCTTCATCAGTTGAACAATGACTCGACATCAAAAACAACAGAATCGGTGGAAAAATTTTACATTTTCATGAAATAATCTTTTTTTTTGGGAAAGCATATCATAAAGTACTTATGTGCGTCTCATAAATGAATGGAATAATTGTGGAAAATATTTTTATTTTTGAGTTTCGTGGATGGGAAGAAATTTTATGCTCGTGAATTATGGAAATTAACTCGTTCTATGATTAAAATGGCGAATGAATAAACACGACATGAGTTTTGTGGATTGTAGGAATAATTTTTCATTTAAGAGTTTTAATTATTAGCTGAATTTATGAAAAATATGAATGTGAACTTTAAATCTCTTTGTATATTCTTAAGATTTAATAAATTAAAATTTTAAAACTCACAATACAAGGCGTATACACTCGAAACAAAAGTTGGGATTTTTGGGATTTTCTGGGATGTTTTGGGGATTTTTAGGGATTTTTTTGTGATTAATCCCGAAAATCCCGATCGTATACGCCTTGTACAAAGCCTTTATTTTAATTAATTCTAAAATGAAGTTTAATTATTTTTCATATTATTTTAATTATTTTGTCGATTAATTTAAAAATGCGCCCCAAATCCCTCCAACCAACCCCCATTATCCTTTCAACTTCCTTATTACTGTATCTATGATTGATGAGGAACGACAGCATATGTGTTAATATATGTGAATGCTTGTTGAGCACACCACAAATTTTATTATTGTTCTTATTGTTTTCTGACAAACAATTTTGTTATGTTTTGATTCCGTCATGTCACGAAGTGTTATGCCAAAATTTGAATAAAGAGGAATTAATAATAAAATAAAAGAGAGAAATATGGAAAATAAAATCGATGTGATGTGTAAATGAAATTGTTTACTAGAGAGGATGAATTTTTGATATTCTTATGAAGGATTGGCAACTGCTAGGAACAAACTTTTGAAAATTGTTTATAAATGTTAAAAAAAAACATTTAAATTTACAAAAGCACTCCACACAGTTCCAAACCCCCATTCAAAAAATTTTATTTATAAGCCAATGAGTGTGCGATGAAATGTTTACAGTAATGCTGATGATACAGTAGAGATGATGATGATAATGCAAAGTTTTAAAGTTTTAATTCTCATCAAAACATAATTTAATGATGTTAATTTTCTCAATTGTTTATGTTTATAGATGTTTATGTATTCATAGTAATATTTGTAAATGAATAAACACGATTATAAATAACACAAAATTCATGCATAAAATACAAGATGAGTGAAATTGATGATTATGATAATTATCTGATGGAATTATCTTATTTCTGTGTGTGTACACAAAAAATTTTATTTATCCGGAACAAAATGTTAATGTAAAATTTTTGCGAGCGGAATGCAAACAGAAAAATTTTGTTAAGCGAGGATTTTTGAACTTTTATCATGAAAATTGATTTTGCTAGACTTTTGCTAGACAGCGCTGACTGGGCGTTTTTTTAAATAAAATTATTATAAATGAATTTATTATGAGAATTATTTTGTTTGACATATTTTTGCTGTCATGAATTTTGTTATTGATTATTTGGGAATTTTGAGAGACTTTTGGACAAAATAATGTTCGGAAAATGTTTTGAAGCGCTTCAAAACTACAAAACTGTTTAAACACTTCCACAAATTACACCTAACAAGAAAAATAAAATTTCAAATATTTCTAAGCTCTTTAATTAATACGAACACTTCCAATTTGTTCAACATTTCCTTTAAGTCTCATTCATGATAATCAAAAAACTTAACAAAAAAGTTGACAAGGCACGAAATTTATTTTGTGGTCGTTCAAAAATGATGTCCATTTATTAAAAAGTAAAATCTTAATCAGTAACTCACCCTCTTTTGTGCCTCGGCATACCTTGGAGGTAATACATGACTGAAACCGCACAAGCCTTACTTCTTGTAGAATTTTTTGGATGTTTTCTACAATTTTTTTTAAAAAAGTCTCAAACAAGATTCATAGAATTGGGCCCCGCACCCCCTTTTTTATCAAATGAAACATCATAAGCGAATAACCCAAGCCCAAAAAATTATCAAAACTCAGCAAAAGTCTAATTCAGTAATTATTGCATATCCGCCATCCAGATAACGATCGTAAAAAATTATGTATTTGACATATCGTGATTGCTAGCCATTATATTAACATTATTTTCTGCATGAGTTTGCATGATTTGTGGCGTTTAAATTGTATTTTCATGTATTGATAAGTTTGGGAGTTTGATGGAGGTTTCACTGCGATATTTTTAAAATTAAATTATGAGGTTTTTTTGTAATGCTGTCTAATGGTAAGGGCACTTACTTTTACTGAGTTTGAGATCTGTTATTGACTGAACAATAAATCGAAAATTGGTTGAAAAGTTGGTAGTTTAATTATGACTGGGTACGGGAGGTGAAATGCCAAACCTTATAATGGCATCCCTCAAAAACTAAGGCAGTGCCATTGATTTTTTTTTTTGAATAAGCTAGTCATATGTTTTTTAAATTTTGAAGATTCTATTCCAAAAACAATTGTTTCGGCCCAATATGTTAATTTTCAAACATGAATTCAAGTCATCAGTGAAAAATCCATCATCTCAATCCTCGTCATTCTCACAAAGCAAATATGAATGATAAAAAAACCGACACAAAAGCAAACAAATGAATGAATGTAAAATATAATAAATGAACAAACAGACATATTGTTAATTGCCAACAGTTTTTTTTTCTCTCATTCGCTAATTACCTGAATCCATCATGTAACGTTGTTGCATGCTATCTTTGCCTCCTTTATCCTTCCGCTCTTTTTCATTGTTACATCCACGTACATTATCATTGTTCGTGCTTTGCGACGATATTGTACTACTCGAAGACGTTATCGGACGACGATTATTATTTAAAGCTTTACTACCGCGTATTAGCGTATTATTTGTAAGAATTGCTGGCTTGCCTGCTGTGAAAATTGAATCACCTGTAAGAATTAGAAATAAATTTTTTAAGTCACATAAATCAAATCATGGAAAAAAAGAAAATTCTTTGATGGAAAATTGAATCAGATGGAAAATTTAATAAAGGTTGAATTAGATAAGGACAAATTTGATTTTTGACGTCGATGAGATAAAAAAAATTGCTTTTAGCCCTAATAAATGCTGAAATTTCTTTCTATGATGTCATGGCTTTTAGAACAAATAACGAGAGTTTTTATTGGACTTCTGGCGATGAAATTTTTCAGAATTTTTTTCATTTTGTTGAAAGATTTGGAGGGGGGATGTTCTTCACTTTTTGGGCCGTTCACTTATGACGATCATGTAGGGGAAGGGGGTTCAGCAAGAAAAGAACAATAAAAATTCCAGGAAATCTATTTTTCTTTTTAAAAAATGACCGTTAATTTCGGACGTCATAAGTCGACAATCCCTTAGAGAGTCAATCTAGTTTTAGTCGACTAGAGTTGAACTTATTTGAGTTGAATAGAATTTAAATAACCTAACCTAACCTAGTTTTTCTAAGAATTGAGCTAAATAGGATCATCTTTGACCTTATCTTAACGCAGATGCGATACTAAGGTCCTAACTCTGATGAGACGAATTTGATTCGCTACAATTCACAAATCTCATAGATTTTTGAAACAAAAACACCACAAGAACACCAAATAAATTATTTTATTACATTTAATGTATTTTCTTCTTCATTTCATCTTCCTGCAACCTCAACATTAAGTAAAAGTAAAACTTTTTATATATTTTTTGTTCATCGAGTGAAAAGATTCAAGTGAAGTTATTAACTTAATTTTCGATCATTGAATAAGACTGATTTTTTGATGAAATAGGAAATATTAGGACTAAATTGATAGAAGTCGATGAAATGGGGCGATTTGTTATTTTATTTGGTGTTTGATTTGAAATTTTGTTATTCTTTTGAGATGGAATTGAGAGTGTTTTTGAAAGCAAAATGTTTCTTGAAAGCATTTTGATATGAAATTAAGCAAATTTGAGTAAGAATGCCTCCCAATATCCCCTCTATCCATCCTCTAGCTACGCTTTTAGTTGAAATTTCATTTTTTGTGAATTTTCTTTTTATTCAACTCAAACTTCATCCAAAACCCCTTAAAACTGCAATTCTCTCAGTCCTCAAAGCTAAATCCGACTTATAAAAAATATGAAAAAACCCTCCAGCATTCCATAAATAACGTCATTTAACGCAACCACTTCAAACAGCAGACCACGGTATTTAGCATTAAATTTAACAAAATGCTATTGCTATAGCAATACATCTTTATTATAGACTTTGTGGTGTAATAATCTTCTCAGACGGAATAAAACATGATGATGCTGTGAGCATGACAAAAAAGTGTCTCATAAAATTTTTCTTGAGTTTGCAAAAAATTGTGAAGTGGAAGAAATTCTTCTACAGTCATCTAGATTCTTTGAAAATTCTTTCTATAGAAAATGATTTTCTTTGAATTTTATTTTGTTGTTATGAAATGTAGTCGATGATGAAGTGTAATAGGATATAGACAGGGAGGGTTGCTATGGTTATTCAGATCAGTGTTGTCCAAACTTTTTTGAGGCACGGCACACCTTATTAGCCATTAGTTATTACCAAAGTCACACACAGCATGCGGCTCGCGTCATTTACAAAAAAAATTCTATGGTGCACCAATGTACCACGGCACACAGTTTGGACAACACTGGTTTAAATGATCAAATCAAAATTAAGATTCCAATGACTTTCTATTTAATTTAAAATTGTTCAAAGGATTTAAAATCCATCCTTTTACTTTGAAAATATTTGAATTAATTATTAAATTGGTTTTGTATTTAAAAATCTTATTTAAGGGTTTGATCAATTTTTAGCACCTTGTAGCCAAAATATCATGAAAATTCATCGAAAAACTTTACACATAAAATGAACTCATTCATGCTGGTCGTTGAGGAGACAAAAATTCCCATCTTTACCATCTTCCTTTCTTCTTTGTCAGCATATATTCCATTATAATTTAAGAAAATTGGAGTTTAAATGACGACAAGTGCAATTCAGTCAATTATCATGCGACCATAATAAAATTTCATAAGAAAAGAATTACATGAAGTATTATAAGTGAATGAGAAATTATGTTTTATGATCTCCACGGAGACTCTTTATCGTCGCTTCTTTTCTATTCTACAACCTCTCGTTATGATAATATGATTTTTTTTTCTTTTTGAGAATAAAACTTTTTTTACATGGTGATAGCGCACACGAGTTTCATTCAAGTCGTTATTACCCATTTTCGTACTTTTTATGCTCCTTAATTTGTGAACTGTGCTCTGCTTTTGCATTCAGAGGGGGGTTTTGGGTAAAATTACCATAGATGAAAATCTACAGGTTGTTCATCATTTTTATTATTAAGTCGTGAATGACGGGAATGATAATTTTGTGAAGGATGTGATAAGATCTTACTAAGTTCTTGCTAATTTTTGATAAATTTTTGATTGAAGTTCGATAAGATCTTAATTTAAAATTGTTAAATTATTGATTTTTGATGGGGGTTGTTCATAAGTGATGTGTTAAATTCAGCTGGGGTGGGTTTGAAACTATTTGACACGTAAATTCCACGTTCTTTAAGCAGAGCTCGAAATCAGCTCGAGATTTTCATCGACTTTGTGGTGAAGTCGATTCCGAGTTGACTCAACTTCATACAAATTTTCATCGACTCCGAGCTCTGTCTTTAAATATTTTATACAATCCACATATAAAATTTGACCTAAAATTTCTACCTTTAAGTCTCTGAATTTACAAAACAATAACCCCCAAAGATACACTTTCATGTTATAATAATTACAATGTCGCAAGAATTCACTGAGTAGACTCATTACCTGTCAAAAGCAATTTCACCTTAAAACGTAACATTAATAGAAATGTCAAACATGTTACATTGACCCTTATTAAATTTTTATAGTAAACATGTTATGGATTATATTATCAATATCTTATTATGTTGTCATCATAATCATTCGAGTATCGAGAGATGATAATGGATAATTTTTTCTTGAGGAGGGTGGCTATGCTTTTGGAAGTTAAAGATGGTCTAACAAGCGTCGAAGAATCGATTAAGTTTAGCCGATGAAATAAGTTGACTGAAAATTCGACTTAAAAAAGTCAAAATAAAGCTGCTGGAGGCTTAATGATCACTACTATAAAGTTTTTTAAAAAACTAGAATTTTTGCAAATTTTTGGAGAGGTCCTTCAATCAAAATGTTAAATATATATTATTTTAGTCTGATTTTCCGCTTCCATCCTTATGATGTAATATTGAGCAAAACCAGAGCTCGAGTTGGCTCCGACATACAAAATCGAAAAAATCTCGAGTCGACTTCGAGCTCTGTACAAAACAAAGCTTGATTTGCAAAAAAAATCAAAACTCTTTCATCAGTTGACTAGCCACCCTACTCATTCACCTCATAAAAAATTTTTCCATGATGCCAGCACCACAAAAGAGGAAAAACAATCTTAAATGAAAATCTTCTTTTCTATTTTTAATCATCATCATCATCGCAATGTGTATCAGTGCACGCGTGAAGAAAACATGTTTACATCGATGTGTAATTATAAAAATGATGTGTGACCATGACGAAAATATCTCATAAAGGTATTTTTTTAAAAAATAAATATGCTGTCAAAATAAATTTATTAAAAATTATTTTTTGGCACTGCTAATCGTAAATATTTGTAAGTTGTCGCACACGAAACTTTTCAAGTGTAATTTTTCTATTAAAAAAAATTCATCAATGACACATTTCTTTTGTAAAGAGATAGACGTGGCAGAGAGCATGAAATTATTTTTAGGGGCGTTCTGAATGAATTCAAGGTTCTCGAATGATAACAAGTTGCTGTCAAGGTTCTCGCGTGGCTATGAAAGGAAGGCAGATGAACTAGTAAGTGATAATGAGTATTTATTTGTTTATTTATAGGAAAAATTAGAGGAATTATTGAAAATGTTTTAACAAAAAATAAATGAAGCGAGAAGATGTTGTTCCGAATATGGATCATTTTATAGCTCCGTGATCTCTTTGTCTGCTTTTTGGAATAACACTTTTTTTGTGTTAATTGAAGTATCAACAATCTGACACTTTGTTGATGTTATTGCTGATATTATCTTTGTTCATTTTTTTTCAAACAATTTTTGGAGTGGGAAAGTAGAGAGTGGGAGGGTCTGTGTGACGCATCCAGTCAATGATTGGGTACTAATGTATATTTTTCAACCCCTTATTACACCTTCTAGCCTTCTCTTAAAGCCACTTCGATCATTAAAATCAGCTCTTTAATTCAATTTTATATATTTTTCATAAAGAAATTTCATCCGAAAGCCATACATATGCCATACTCAGCGAATTAATTTACTGACCTACTTTACACTTATTTTTCTCATCATCATTTCTTTCTATAATTTAATTTCGCAATACCTGCTATAAATACTGGCTGTAGGATTTTCAAAAACATTTATTTTAATTAAGGTAATTCCCAATCAACAAACTATTTTTTTTAATCTGTCTGATTCATGTGGGAATCATGCCAGAAAATCCTAGTTTTTATTCTGTTTTGTAAGCATGTTGACATCATTCATTTCCCGGGTGTTTTCTCGGAGCTCACTAATCGAGCCGGTTAAGTCTGTTACGTGTAACAACTTCTGAAAAATCATAAAATTCTAAATTTACGACAGAAAATGATCAAGGCTTACTCAATGTAAACTTGATGTTCTGCTTCTAATTCATCCGCAATTAACACTTTCGTATTCAACGAGACTGTCAATTGAATTTACGGATTATAAATATTAATTTTAATTATTTGCGGAAGACCTTTAAATTCTGTCATTTATTTTATTACTTTCAATAGCTTCCTAGCTTGAAAAAATAGCCTCAAAAACTGAAAGTCAAGCCCCCAAAAAATCTTCAATCAACCAATTTTGAAACAATCTATCGCACAAGTCTAACCTCTGCTCTCAAACGTAGAATCTCGATTGATTAAACTAATAAAAATTAAAGAGCCGTAAAATGAACACGAGTAAACAAATAAAAGTTCATGTATGCAGCAATATAAACTGCAATAATAACACTACATTCATATTAATTTATATGTTTACTATATCAAAGGTCACAGCACTTTTTATCGGCTTAAAAATAACATAATAGAAGCACACACGCGAACGCACATGTCTTTCTTTGTATTTTAAATATTTTTTTTTCATCGTCTCTAGTGATTTGAGTGAAGATTGCACGAAATTTTAATTTGAAAGTGCAATATTGAGTGAATTGCGTAGTTATGTCGTAGTTTAGGTAATGATTGTCAATCATATACGCAATCAGAATTACAACAAAAATAATCCAATGACTCAGTTTGACTTGTAAGGTTTCACATGTAGTATTTTCGTCATAAATACTATAGAACGGAAGTTATTATTGTTTTTATAAAGGCAAAATTTGTAAATTTTACAAATATTAGCATTTAGTTGACTCTCTTGAAGTGCAATTTTAATTTCTCATTTTTCTACTTCTTGTAAAGCAGGGGTAGCAAGGATAGGTTTGAAGTTAAGCATCTCTTATCGATCAACGCACACTTTGAATATCACAAATGAGACAAACTTAGAGGGTAGAACCGCATTTAAGCACCTGTCACAAACCTGGGCTGGTCCCAGATCAAGAAAGGAGTTCAACGGAGAGGCCGTTGGTAAATGATTTTGCGTAGAAGGGTTTGAATGAAATTGTCATGCACCTGTCCCTACAAAATACATCAACTAGTTTTTCAATGCATTTTAAGGAGGATGACAGAGAAAGGTCAATTAACTCATGGAAAGAGGCTGTTGATAGAGACAGTGTTGCATTTGGAATCGGCATTTGGCAGACAATAGCCAGCGATAGAGCTAGTTTTAGGGGACTACTAAGGAAGGTCAAGGATCACAACTAATCTGTACGACCAGTGAAGTAAGTAAGTAATTAAGACAGAGAAAGTATCCAAGCACACATTTTCTATTATGCAATTTTAATAAACTTATTGAACACTTTTAGTAAACAATAAAGTATCAATCTAACTTCGCATAAGTTTTTGCTTGTGTTGTTTTCACATTTAATTCCGTAATCGCTGTATTTTCGTTTTTGTCGCTGTAAAAAAATCGTGTATGCTTGCTTGTAAAAAATCTAAAGTCAAACTAGAACTGAGTTGTAATTCGTTCGCGACAGACGTATAAATAATTCGTTAAAAAAGTTAAAACTACCTACTTAAAAAAGGATTGAAAAAAAAAATATTTAAAAAATTGTTAAAAAAGGACTCGAAAGAATTTAGAAAATAAATTCAAAAAAATCAAAAAAGGACAAAAAAATCTCAAAAAATAAAAATGAGTGAAGGTGAAGAAAAGACAAAATTTCCATACAAGAATCCCGACCATGAAAATAGATTTCCATACAAAGATCCAACCTACTACAAACCAATAATCGTCGATGAGCAAAAAAGAAGAATGTCGATGGGATTTACAGCCCAATGTAGTGTGAATCTACTAGAACAAATGGGACGTAATCCAGATCTTGGACATGGTCATCTCCCATGGTTTCGTCCTGCGTTGCAAAGACGCTGATTAATGGCGATTGTGATACCAAAAAAAAAAAGTTATTCTGTGTGACCTTTATTATTGTATCTAAGGATATACGTATTTGTTATATGTGCAAACATAAAAAAAAAATTATTTTTTAACACTTTTTATTTTATAATAAAATAAAGTTTGTTATTTGTATTATTCACATTAATAAATTTTCTTTGTGCTACTATACATTCTGACTACTGATAAGATAAGACTCGGTGTATATAAATTTTATTCAAAGAGTGTGCGACATTTGTCTTCGAGAAAATAATATTCTTTGCAGCTAGTGCAGTTTTTTGAGTGAACTATGGACGGTTCAGAGTTCAGTTTGGCTGGATGAGATGATGTGACTTTTTTGAACATTTTTATAAGGTTTTTAGCGCTGATTAAAAAGGGTTGATGGCTAGGTGGATTGCTTTGGAACTTTCGATGTTTTAAGGCAACTCAATTGACCTCAAGACACCAATGGATAAGCCCTAAAAGAAGACTGCGGCAGTTTAAACTAATTAATCCTGTTGTTGTGTTTATAAGTGACTGTCTGTGCAAAGCAAAGCTTCGAGCAAAATATTTTGTTTGTGTTATGTAAAACTATGTACTTTGTGCACACAACTGTCTAGATAATCGATTCAAAACAAACAAAAAGCAGAACAATAACAAACTTTACTCCAAAAAGTATGCGCTGAATTGTAAATTTATTTTAATGAATGAAATTTCTTTAAACGATTAAGAATATGGAAGGTTATCGAATTATGAAGTCTGTGGAGGTGTTTATGAACCTGCTATATATGAATAATTGTTATTGATTTGTGACACTGGGTATGATCAGATACGATGTGAAAGAGTGACACAGGCGACCTTGAAATCAGGTGCAAAGATCTACGAAGTTGATGCCCTCTGTGAACTGATTATACAAAGAAACTTAAATGGAATTGGAAGTATTTAAACTAGCTCTGAGTATTTTTATCTCATCTGCAACCCAAAAATGAACAAAACTCCTAAAAATAAAGTTTTAAAAGTGCTGAATTGTAATACAAGAGAGTTTTACACAAAAACCCACAAAACTAGCTTCTCAAAAATCATAAACACTAGCCCAAGAAGTTTCGTTATGCAGCTTATAATGATTAAGGTCGTTTGTTCTGTTTACTGTCTTTTACTTTGATTACTTAATTGCCTGATTGATAATGATGTCGAGTCTAGTCATAAAATCATAACAACAATTATATAAATTAATGATTCTTCTACCCAATGAATTGCTGGTTTGTTTAGTGACATAAAATATCAACTTTATCTTGGTCACGATCATCATTTGAAGCTGATATAAAACAATTGTGGTCCACCTTGAACTTTTGAGATCAAAACTTAATTTTGCGCATATCAAACAATTTAAATTTAAAAAATATAAAGAAGCAATTGTTCATAAATATTCTCATCTATAAGATACAGTTGACCTTGTCAATTTATATTTAATATCCACTAACCCAGTTTATTTCCAGCAAAAACAGCGCTTCATCCATACATTAAATAATTTTATCATTGACTCACACAACTACTTATTTTATCTTCTCGGCACGAGAGAGTGCGACGTCTTCAGACGAGAAAGAAAATGAAGCGACAAGAAAATTGAAAAACTTTCGTTTGGTCTAACCTCAAAAGAATATTTTACATTTTCTATGACTTAAAGGAGAAAGTTTTTCTATTTGTGTTCGGGTGACACTTTAATGTGAACTTCAAAGATTAACATGCAGTTTGCTTATAATAAAGTATAAAGTAAGTAAGTTGGAAGGAAATTTGTTCTATGAAGTGAAAAGATGAAGAAGTTCTTAACTTCCGCACCAAATGTATGAATTATTACAGTTTGTTTAGGAGGAAATGAAGCTTGATATTGAAGAATGTTTCTTTTTAAAATGAAAAAGTAGATAAAGATTATTCAGGAACTATGATAAGTGTGCTTTTGTAGCTTTCATTTCTTTCAGAGTTTTAGAAAGCTACCTCAAAATTTTGTCCAAATTCAAATCAACTCAAAACATGCCTTAAAATTTTTCATCAACCTTAATTTTCCCAATACACCATAAAATAGAATAATAAAAGATTCAACTTACCATTCCTCAATCGTTCCTGTGCAGTATTGTACTGTTGCATTCGTCTGTTGGTCATTTCATTCGGAAATGGCGACGACTGTCTAAGTGCGAGCGGAGAGCGATTTTTCATTTTTGATGAATGATTTGTCAACTGCTGTGAGCTACTTGCATTCACAAATTCACCGTCATTTGCCATACTAATACCATCATCTGTTTCGCAATCTGAACGATATGATCTCTCAGCATCTGCGATGTTTGGGATGGGGTGCAAGCATAAAAATGGAAGAGAGAAAAAAGACATAAAATTGAAAAAAAAAAAGTTTTATGAAAAATAACTTTTGATTTTATTATTTTCGACCGGTCATAAATACATCATCACTTTTTTACTAGATTTTTCTTTGGTGATGCAAAGTCCAAGGTAAACAGTTTGTCTGTTGTTTATTTTTTATTTGGAGAGTAATTTAGTGCGGACGTGATTTAATGGATTAAAATATAAATTTTTTGAGACTTATCAATGAAAATAAAAATAAGTTTAGAAGTCAACGCGAATTTCAGCACGTACAGAGCTTAATTTTGACAAAATCACATGCAACCTATGTCTTATCTGATGCAATTGCTCAAAAAGAGATTTATTTGCTCAGATTGTTGCTCAATTAACTCAATTTAATCAAAAACTGTCAATAAAATTGCTTAAATTTGTTCAATTTTTTTCTTGGTTGCTCACGTTGTTGCTAAGTTTGACATTTTTCTTAAATCATGCCACAATTTTTGTCCAACATTGAAATTTCAATAACCAAATGCGTTCATTCCTTCAACTCCACACCGATCCTCAATTCTTCAATCTATTAATACCCAAAAAATATTTTTTGATGGAATAATCGATTTCATACATTGATGGGAAAAAAGTAGCCGCATACAACCAGTTGTTCAATTGTGAGCCAAGACCAATATACATAATAAGACTCAAACCGACCAGTATCACAAAATAGCAGCCATAAATGATGAAAGAAAAAAAAAATCATAAAAATGAAGAAAAAGAAAATAGGGAAGCAAGGGGTGATTGAAATGAAGTAGATAAATTTGTCGAACGATGATGAGTATAAGCATCATAAAAAACCCATTCTTTCATCCCTTCTTCAATTTTCTTCAAGTAGCTGCAAGAAGCAATGAAAGGGATGTCCATTCGATTTATTGGAAAATATATTAACAATAAAAAAATATTTTTTATGTATTTATCGATATCGATGTGTGTTGGGACGATGGTTATAAACACATCGTTTATGAGACGAGCTTTTTATTTATTTTAATATTGTTTGCTGTACATGTGGACATGAGGGAGTGCGAAATTGCTATGAATTTAAATTTGATATGAGCTAATAAATATAATGGAATTTGATTAAATGGCATGTTGGAAAATTGAGTTAAAAATGTTTTTTTTTTTATTGTTCGAGGGGTGTAAGTATGTGGTTTTAAATTTTTTATGAGTTTTTAGAATGATTTCCAATATTGGTTACGCGTGAGGAATTAATTCTTAATAATTATATGAAGCTAGGTTTGCATCTTTAAATTGAGAGTTTCATTTTCATTTTACCCCAAACCCATCTCCTCGACATATATGTTCTGGTTTGACTAATTGATTATCATTTGTAATCAATTCTACAAATTCAATCTATCGTTATCACATCACAACTTCCAAAATAAACCACGAACCAACCTCCTCCCTTCTACATCAAGATCATAACTTTAAATGATAATGTATCAGTCTGTAAAAATAGAAAATTGATAGCCGGGGTACAAGAAAATGGTCTGGTAATAAAATTAATGCATTTCTTATGCCTCCCAGCCATGCTGTATTGCCATCAGAATTATTTTATTTTTATTTCGCAATGTTACTGCTTTGTACTTTAACTTTTTAGACTGGGGGATTGGAAAACATGATGTAGAGACTGGTGAATCCCCAACTACCCTTCCTTGTCAGAGATTTTTACTCAGTAAATTGCTATTAGACATTAGGCTAACATGAAGCTAGTCAAGTACTCAACAACTTCACTTTATTAGACTTCTAGGACTTTACAATCTGCCTACCAATAAAATGCAAGCAATCAACCCCCTACTTAAGTCTCAAGACTTAATTTATATGTCTTGTTGCCATTTCTTTTACAGCACGATTTCCTCGTTCCGTTTATGGACAGTCAAAAAAAAAAGTGAGGATGTAAAAACGAGAACCACAAGAAATTCAATTAAAACGTAACGACAGGAACTTTTTGCTATTATTATTTCCATTTTTATGAGATGAACGTCCCGCAAAATTTAATGTGAAATGAAAAAATAGGTCAAATTGTGAATGTGTGTTGCGTGAAAAAATGTTTAATTATTACATTATGATCATATATGCGACGTTCCTGTAATTCAGAATAATAGAACTTGTGTTTATACTCACTTGACGATAACTGTTGTGTTTGTGCGATTAATTGTGCAAGTACTGACGAGGAATCCCTTGATGGACTTGTATTTGAATTATTTTTTCGATGATTAACGTTTATTTCATTATTATTATTTATTCGTCCACCAATGCGGTCATTTTCCTCTTCGCTGCTACTATAATTTTTCTCTTGTTGCCACTCTATCGACCGTTGACGTTTCATTTGGTTTGTAGTCAGTGATAAAGCTCGATTCGTTCTACCTATTGTTCCACTTTGTGTCGACATAATATTTTTATGTATTTAATGTTTTATTTTTTTTTTTTCGGTTGGGCTTTGCGTATTTATTGTGTAAATAGCGATGACTAAAATTCTACTTTGGCATCTGAAATGAGAAGGATAGGAAAATTCGGGTGGTTAGTATTGTGAATTACTGATAATTGACGGAGGGTCGTTCACTAATGATAGTATGGAAGGGGTTGGGATGTTAAACCAATGAGCTTTTTGTAGCTCATCCTGGACATCAATGAATGAACGATCCTTAAAATTTGAAAATTAATTTACAAGTTTTTCCTCAAAAATATTGACCTAGGAGCTGACTGAACTCTCAGTTTCTCAAAAAGTTCTGCATCCTTCACGAGACTGCAGATTTAATTACAATAACTATAATTTTAAATTTTTAAAAATTTCATTCGTTTCCTTAACGCCTTCTCAAGAATCAAGCAGCAGCAATAAAAATAACGGTCACGAAAAATTCAAACAAAGTTCGACGTCGACTGAACTTCAAATTTTAAAAGATCGTTATTTTACTGCGCAGTGCGCAGTACTTTCAACTACACATCTCAATAAAACATTATAAAAAATTTCAAGAGAACGAGAGTACAAAAAAAAACAATAACTTCAATTTCCAAACAATTCTCATTGAATTAAGCATCCTCATATGACTCAATTACAATGCACTTAATGTAATTGTGTGTGCACATAATGTAGATTATACAACATTAAGTTATTTATTTGTTTTGTAAGCAATCTCTTTTGTGCATCGTAGCGTTCATTTTCAATTTCCTTCATTTTTTTGCCGTTACTGCTGCTTCTGTGTCTCATCCTTTCCAACAATGTGCCACTGCTGATGCTGATGTTGACTCTCATGTGTTTATTTATTGAGTGCAAACATAAGCAGTGCTTCATAAAATAATGGCAATAAAATCAGTTCTTGTGTGTGCATTGAGAAAAAGGAATTTTGTGCGGTGTCACATTGGTGTCATGTCTTGATTCTCTGTCTTGTCTATTTCTTTGCAGACTTTTTTAATTATGAATGAAGTTAATGTATGGAAAAGTTTCGTGGGAGGAAAAAAAGTTTTTTTTTTCGTAAAGATTATTTTGAGAATTTTATAGTGTAACAGCTTCTGGGGATTAAGAATGAATTTTTTTATTATGTGAGTTGGTGGAAAAGATAAGGTTGCGGAAATTATGTGTGCATTAATTTTTGTGATGTTTATGCAAAATAATATTAAGACATTTTGTAAAAAATGTCAAGATTTTTTGGTTTTGTGATTTAAGTTGTCAGAATTTAAGGGAATTGGTGTTTTTGCTGACATTTTTTGAAGGTTCTGATTAAGCAATTTTGAGGAAGATATGGATAAGTTCATGCATATGTAATCTAAAAGGCACAAGTCGGTTAATCGCTCTGAATCCGGTATCAAGCTGGTGAGACTAGATTTAAATCAAAGCCAAAGTCATACCGACTTATCGCCAGATTTCTATTCGATCAACCGACTTGTACTATTCGGGTAACGTTTAACAGGAGTCAAAATCTCATGTTTTCACCTCTATCGCCTCCTTAGAAATCTTTTAAATTCACTACAATCCATTCAAATAAATCACAAAGAATTTTTTGCACCTATTATTCAAATTAATTCTCATTTATGCATTCAAATATTTCTATAACTTTCTTTTTATTCACCTTGAAACAGCAACAATGCTCTTCCGCATTTTAATAGTGGTAGAAAAAGTTTTTCTATTGCTTTTTGTGTTAAATATTCGCTTTTGTTTATTCAGTGCATTTTTTTTTCAAAAAGAATAAAGAAGAAGTTACTTTTACAGTTTTACGCTTACTTTTTGTTCTGAAGTAAATTCAGTCTGCAGTTGGGTTTTGTTTACAAATTTTCAGAAAAGGAAGTTTTTGTTGGCTTTGGGTGAGTTTCTGCTTGGAAGTTTCATTTAAAGGAGTATTTTTTAAAGGTTTGTAGATTGAAATGTTTAATATGAAATTCTAAACACTTTTGGGTGGCTCTATTTCAACCAACGAACCCCCTTTCCTTAGCAATAGCAGTCTAGGTAATTAGAAAAATTTGTAACCACCTTAAAAAAGTCAGAACAGCTTAACAAGCCTCACATAACGATCAAAAGATTATTTTGAAGAGCTTCATTTTTAAACAGTTCACAGAAGCTGTGAAATTGTCGACTGTCGAACATGCTTTTGTAATCAACACTTTGTTTTCTTGGAATACAACTAGCTTTTTGTCAGAATTCGAAAATTAAGAGCAAGTTTCAGCTAGTGTTGTATGCAAAACATTTTAAAACTTACACTTTCTAATCGTAGGTTAAGATTAACACCCCTGAATTTAAATTCTTGAGTAAGGGTTCAATTTTCTAGTAGCTTTCATTGCTAGTAGCTTTCCTGCTAAATCTTGAACCTAGAACTCATATTTTATCATTGCAATCTTCAAATTGAACAATTCTAGCTCAATTGACATCAACTCAATTAATAAACTCCTCTGAATTCAATCCATACTTTCTCCATGCCTTCGAAAAATTTTTTCACCATCATTTCCTTCGATCCACATAATCGCATATTTTTTTTACAACACCACCTTCATGGGCTTATTCATCTAAAACCAAAAATGAGAAGAAATCCTTTTCAAACTAGCTTTTTTTTTATGACTTCAAATATTTTTACGCGAAAAGGTAGCGAGAAGCTTATGAACTTAATTTTACCATTATGCTACTTTGCTTTACATAAAAACTGAGTATTCAACGTGGATGAGAATGAAAGAAAGCAAAAGAGGAAAATAAATAAATGAAAAGAAAAACTTTATTGCGACTTCGAAACAAACATTTATTTAAAACATTTTTTTTTTTTGTGAGAAGTTTTGCTTCGCTTCTTCTTGTGTTGTTGTCGAGATTTTGTTTTGTTCTTCATAGTGGATAAATGAATGAATGACTATGGGGAGGGTGGGTGTAGGTAAAACAACTAAGATTGCAGCAACATGCGACAATATAAAAATTATGATGAATAAGAAGTAAAATGTCTGATATTAAGAATATGACTTGACATTCAAGATGCTACAATTGTGAAATAAAATTATCCCTGCAAGGAACAGCAATCATTCATGAGGTGGAAGGACGAGAACGTAGAAGAAGAATTTTAATAAATATGATATTGTTTTTGTTACAGACGAGAGATTCGTGCCGGGGCAGGAGGTTATTTTTATGATCTATCCACGTGGTCTAAAAGAGATTTCTCTTGCTTGTGTTGGAGATTAATCTTTTTTGTAAGAGTTGTGGACCTTGAAGATGACATGATTTGATTTTTTTTTGTAATGAAGACGTTTTGGACAAAAACAGGATTCAAAATAAAGTCGTTGCATTAAAATTTAGATTCAAAATAAAGTCGTTGCATTAAAAACTAGATTCAAAACTAAATCGTTGCTTTAAAATTCAGATTCAAAACTAAGTCATTGCATTAAAAACTAGATTCAAAACTAAGTTGTTGATTTAAAACTTAGTCATTGCTTCAAATTAAATCTGAAATTAAGTCATCGCATTATGTATTGTAGTTCAATTTAAATCAATATCGAAAAATTCAGCTAAATTTAATTATTAATCAACCTTAACAGTTTATTTAAAAATATCAAATACCGTCAAAATTGCCATCAATTTAAAAACTCATCTTATAATTCATTTGAAAAAGTCTATTCGCCTGTTAAGACTTATTGGAAGGCCTTATTGAAGGTGAAAAAGGTTCAATTTTGAATTATGCTTCAAGAAAAATTATTTTTTATCGATTTCATACTAAGCAGATGTCAATTTATCATGCAGTAAAATAAAATGCCTTTTTGAATGAAATATTCATTGGTGCTGTTCCACGAAAGTTGAAAATTAAAAAAATATTCAAGGATGCAGAGTGGTGTGAAAATTTTAAGGTACGACATCAGAGTATGAGAACTAGGAAGTGCATATCCTGAAAAGCACAAGTCGGTTAACCGAATAGAAATCTGTCGCGAAGCTGGTAAGACACTGAGATAGTGCTGACTTCGATTTAAAGCCAGTACCATGCCAGAGTCACACCGGGTAGTTCCCGGACTTCTGATCGATTAACCGACTTGTGCCATTCGGGTATGGATAAAATTGACCAAATCTAAGTCTCTATGGATTTTTTAAGACACATGACACGAACAAAACTCCCTCAAATCACAAAAAAATCCCAAAAAAAACTTTCACACATCAATCCAAACACTTTCAATGCCAAATGTATTCTCGCGTTTACAAACAATCAAAATATGAATAATTCTCCATTGAATACATCTATCGATTTTTTCTGTATTTTATTTCATATTTCCCTTACTGTATAAACAAAGAACTGAACAGTGGCTGACTCGAAACAGCACTCACCAGTACAGCAACAAATTGAAAAGACAGAAAAATAAATAAAACTTTGTTATTTAATGTACGAGAAATTGTATAAACGTAGATATGAAAAAAAATAAGTCGAGAAAGTCCAAAATGAAAAATGAATCGAATGGTGCTGGGACAAATTGTGAATGAAAAAGAAACTAAAAAGAACAGTTCCAATTGCAACAATCTACAATTTCTCATGAAAGTCAAAAGTACATTCTTTTGTCTCTCGTCCTCGTACTTGAGCTTCTTTAATGTTCGTGTCTCATATTCTTTGTGATGATTTCTGACAGAATTTTTAAGGGACACTAGGTTGGGAGAAAATTGTAGAATCAAATAGAACTAGCTTCTTTGGGACTCGACCACCCTGGTTCTGGTCCGAACTGGTTGTAATCTTCTAGATATACAAGCTCTTGGGCTACAAATTCAAAACTGAGAGCTTCTAAAACACCTTTCAGACTCAACTGAACTAATCAGCTTTCCAAAAGTTATTTCTTCCAGTCCAACACAAAAGCTTAAGCATTTTCCACCACAAAATCACCACAAGAGGACAAAAACATAAATTGTACATACCAATAAGATGCTCACTACGGGTAACATTCGTGTCTACATAGTGTACGTGAGGAGCTTTAATATAAATTTTTATTCGCCATACAAAAAAAAAAGTTAAAAACTTTTGCATCAGAACCGGGGGAGAAGCTTTTGTGT